GTGGAACCATGTTTGTTTTTCCGGATCTGGTGGTCCTCTCTCCAAATTTCCTCCAATTTTGATTTTAGAAATTCCCTCCCAATAGCCTCGCTACCGTTTTTTTTTTTTTTTTTTGCGACCTTCATCTGCATCTTTGCTTGCTGCCCTCCTTGCCTGCCTCTCATCGTGCCCCTCTTCTGTGCCGCAGCTTTGCTGTGGCGTATCCACTTGTTTGTCTCTAATGAGTGATGTATGATTGTTTCTCCCACCTTGCTCCTCCCTCTATAGGGATGAGCCACATTGATTGGTTATTCGCCTACGATCGAATTTTGTACGATCTTTATGCATTAACGATTGTCACCTTCTTTTTGTTTATGTATGCATGAAACTGGACGCTGGGTATTTTTCTATCTAAATTAAAGAAGCATGCTAGATGATCAGATGTTTGTCTCGCGATAGGACTATCCATCTTCTGTTAACGGACCAGCGCGTACGGGACGCGGATCATTGGCGTTGTCCATCGAGCCGAAGGGCAGGCCCTATGCACGCACATGTAAGCCCGACTGGAAGAACGTGGCCTATACGCGTGTCTGCAGAGCCTGTACTCGGTCCAACTTTTCGAATGAATGAGTTTCCGCCTCACCCCGCAGCATGAATATCGAACTCCCTTTTCGTATTACTGACCGTGAGTGTCTGAGGGATCAGGAATTACGGGAATATTGGGAGCGCGTGTGTCTGTCTACACGACCAAAGGGAGAACTTTTTGAATTTCCATACCCGCTAGGAAACAAACGTATCTGCTAGTGGGATATCGACCGAGCTCGAGAGCGCATTCCCCACCACCCTAAATTCCCCAGCTCATACACGTGCCACCTTGTCGAGGAACCGGGAATAATTATTCTGGAAACCGACTTCCTTCCCTGCCACCGCAAACTGCCCTTCCATTCGCCGACCATCATCCCCTGGAGCGCAATCGCTCCGTATTGGTCCCAGCCCCCGTGCTCAGAGTGCTTGCAAGACTGCAAGTACCGTGCCTCCGGCTTCATCCAACGAACTCACTCGGAGGAAGAACGATGGGCACACAGCCTTCGGCTAAGGCCAGCCGTGTTGGATTATGAGACCAGTGACGTACGACGCCAACAAGTGATCGGACAGCGCGATAGCCATAGCGTTCCGACGGTGCACCAAATACGAGTCCGACCCAGACGACGGAATCAATAGAGGCGATAGTCCCACGCTCAAAAGCATAGAAGCAGACTTCGACCCGCGCCTATCCTCTTGCATTCCTATCCCTGAAACTTGCCACAGGAGATCTCAGTTCCGACCTGGGACTCCACCCCCACTTTCCTAAAATCCTTGGCACACCCCCTTTTCGCACTTCCAGGCCTAGTCACACTCCGATCAGGAAGTCGCGCCGGGCGTGAGGTTGGGTGTCACAGCATCAGCCCAGACCGTGCGTTATGTAAACATCCTCTGGTGTCTCTACAAACGTGTGGAGTTTTGAACCTACACCCTCAGTCCATAATGCATTACCATAGAGTCTGTGGCACGAATCCAAAACTAAACTAAACACCATATACAACCCACTCATTCTCACACTCAAATCTGTGTTGGCCAAGGACCCTATCAAGCGGACTATCACAGCTGCTTGGCACTAAGCATGCCGCAGGCCTTCAAGGGCCGCGGACCCTCCTGAATGCCACTTGCATACTTAACCAACCAGCGGCCTAGTTCAGTTGCTTAGGCATGCAAGTGGCAATCGAGAGGTTGTGTGTTCGAGCCCCATGACTGCCTACTAGTTGTGATAGTCCACTTTATACCTCTGATCCGTATTAGTAGAGTCTCTGGCCGACACGGGTGTGAGTGTGAGAGTGAGCCAGTTGTGTGTGGTGTGTGGGAGAGTGTTGACCCTAGACACTGCTGCTACTCCGACGGGGGGTGGGAGACAATGAAAACGGGGGTGCAGCTACTAACAAAATGCTTGGTCTTCACGTTAGCGGGAACCCCACTGGCGGCCCCACAAAATGCTTGGTCTTCACGTTAGCCGGAACCCCACTGGCGGCCCCACCCCTGCACCCTTAATCACTAGGGCAAGGGGCAACATGCAATATCCCCTTCACCGCCTACTGGCGGTCCCATCCCTGCACCCTTAACCACTAGGGCAAGGGGCAACATGCAATATCCCCTTCACCGCCTACTGGCAAAACGCTAGGTCTTCGCGTTAGCCTGAGCCCCACTGCTGGCCCCAACCCAGCACCCTAAGGGCAAGGGGCAACATGCAGTATCCCCTTCACAATGAGGTAGCTATGCTTGCAGGGGTCCCCCTTATATAGCCTAGGAGTAGGTAGGTTACCCTAGTGAAAGGCCAATAAAAATTGAGAGAAGAATGTACTGTAGTCTACAAAAAGGGATAATTTGCAAAATACCCCCATAAGTTGAGACATATGCCAAAATGCCCCTGACCACCCATCTTTACAGTGTACACCTGCCTGGTATCGTCCAAATTTGCAAAATGCCCCCGTGCTTGCCAACTTTTCCAAGGCTCTATTGCAAAGTGGCCAGACCCAAAGGGCCAGGCCCAGATTGCAAGTTTGCACACCCGCCTGACAGGGGCATAACGCAAATATTTCGTCCTAAACGGGCATTCTCCTCTGCCCACTTCTTTCAGGGGCATTTTCGCATTTATCTCAACTGATGGGGGTATATATTGCAATTCATTCCTTCACTAAAAAATGGGAAAAAGACACTAGAACTAAACCCCTGCTCCGTCGTGGGACATGGCCCACGGACTCTCTGTACCGATCCCGGTAGACTCTCACGTGGCCCACGCACTCTCACGTGTACGGATCCCTGTAGACATGTGCGTTCGAATCCTTATCCAATCAGATGAGCGAGAATAAGGGCCTCGCTCCACTACTCTCAACACGCATAAAAGACAAAAATCATGGCTCTGTATCTTTCCATGTTCTAGCGGAAGATTCACTCTCGTTTTGCACATTTCGAGAGTAGTGGAGCGAGGCCCTAACTCTGAATGTACCCTGGGGCCGGTCCAGTGAAAGATGATTACAGAAACACCAAACCCGTGGCCTTACAGTAGCTCGGTTGGTACACCCATGAAGTGTTGAAAGACAGACCGAACTGCGAATGCAGATGCAAAGATGATTACAAAGATTATAATCGGCACATGAGAAAGGCGCAGAAGGCCGCCTGGAAAGCCACGTGGAAAGATGCTTACGGTCTAATTAAGGTAAGTATCATCAATAAATTAAAATAAGTGAATATCGTTACATATCCTATCCAATTTAATCTTATGTATCTTTTATTGGCTGTGACAGACCTTTCTTTGTTTCGTGGATGTTTTGCTGGCTTGTGATGGGGTGTGAACCGACAGTCTGTAGAGTTTTCCATCTGGTGTGGGTGAGTGATAGTCTACTTTGATTTTGGTTAAGGTAGATTATCATTTAC